AGAACTGCCAGTGAAGCTCACCGGATGCTTTTCGATACTTGTTGAGAACAAGCTCCACCTGAACGAACCTGCAGCATTCACCCAAAAGCGGCCGTTAATCGCAAGAAACATCATAAGGTGCTGTTCCACCACAACAACTCTAGACTACATGTTACAAAGAATGTCCTAAAAGAATTGCACGTCTTGGATGGGATCAGCTTGTTCGGCGCGCATACTCCCCGGATCTTGCTCCATCTGATTACCACTTATTCCTGTTCATGCAAGTCAGTTTGGCAGATACACGCTTCCGGAATGCCGAAGAAGTGCGGAAATGGGTGGATGACTGGGTTGCTCCAAAAGTTTAAGACTTTTTAGACTCGGAGTTAACAAGCTATCAGAAAGATGGCCAGAAATTGTAACGGTGGGCAATACATTGGTTGAAGTACGTTTTGTTTTAGTTTTGTAATAAATATGTTCTTGCACGCATAACACGGCGGAAATTAATGCACACACCTGATACAATTTAGGTGGACTGTATTGGTATAAGGGTTATTGTACGACCATTATCCAGGGGACCTCGAAATGTTGACTTGAAAACTTCAATTCTTAATCAGGTTTCAATAGATATTTATGCAGAGAATCGATAAAAAAGCATGAATGATAGAACTCACTGAAAACTGCAAAGAATACCTCGGAAAGGAATGGTTGGATGTAGCTCAATACAAAAAAAAATATTCTGAATCCAATGATGGAGTTGAAATCGATTCAGCCAACCAGTTAGCAGCAATACGAGTGCTTCTACACTCTTATCTACTGAACTTGAATGGAGAAAAAGCAGTACCAGTTCTTCTTCTGACCTAATAATACTTTTGTAAGTTTCCAGAAGAGTAGTCTGTTGTTACTGCAATGCTTGCTGCGAATTTCGCTGGCTTCCCTAGATGAATCAAAAACTTAGGCATAAAAACCGATAACCCAAAAGTTTACAATTCTTTGTTTCTCTATGAAGTTCATCCGCGAATAAGCAAACACATTTTCTTTTAATTGTACATTGTACAAAAATCACTGGAGACAAAAACAGAAATTTTTGTAAGAAACCTGTTGAGCGTTCGCACAATTACTTGTAGTTACGAACACAAGTGCACACATTGCCACATATCAATTGTTTTTCCTCTCAGTAACTTACTACTGTATTTGATCTTGTTGCACCTTGTACTTGTTCTTCATTATTTTTCTAACACTCCATCCTCCCGCACATTCAGAAACAGTAGTTCCTTGTCTCTAAAGCGCCGAAGCACCAAAGACAACTGCTGATTCTGTTTTGGTGACCTTTCCCTTTTAACATAGACAAATTCCAAAGATGTTGGTGTTGCGTAATGGAAAAAAAAGGGAGCGAATCACTCTAGAGAACAGTTCTGAATGGTATAAAAGGGACGAAGGATCAGGACTGTACCAGCAAGCCACCAATTTTATTTTCCTCAGAAATTAATCTACATCTTTTCAATTCGACTTAACCCGACATTCTCCATAAAAACAAAAAGATTTTTCAGGATGTTCTCATTCATTACTGCAATCTGCTTACTTGGAGTTGTCACGGCTTGGCCTGGCCAAATAATTCCTCCACCGCCTCCTCCACCCCCTCCACCATTGGGACCTCACCCAGTTATATTTCCGCCCAATGCCCCTGTACCTCCTCATCCCAGTAAGTATTTAACAAAGTCAATCTTAACATGCTTGTTGTCGAATCTACCGATATATTTAATAACAATTCAGTTATAACTGTTTTAAAAGCGGATTTATTGAGTTTCACTTCTGTAATGCTAGCAAATCTGTGGTATAAGTCAATGGATGCCATGGTCTCTTCAGTGGTGTCACAGATACCAAGAATAAGTATTCAGAAGTATAGTGAGATTAAAAATAAGCTGTTCACTCTATAAATTTAACGGATCTCACAATATAGTTCACTCAAAAATACGTTTTAACTCAAAAATACGCCGCAGAGAACACAATCGTAGGTCCTTAGATAACCTTATTTTACCAAACTGTTTGTCCATATCTACCATTACTCCATTTTTGTTCTCCATTTTATTGTATATTATTTTATTTCAAAATTTTTTATTTACAGTTTTTCCTTGCCATTTTGTTACGTTCGCTTACTTTTACTATGTTCCACTGATTTTATAATAATTTGTTGCACCTTCCGTATTGAACTTATATCAGCTCTTCTGCCGTACCCAACATTCGAA